AAAATACATGGTTAATCTTTAATGTCTTGCCGATGTCACAGTATTTTTTTGGTATTTTTTAAAAATTTTTTTGACGGTCAAAAGAGCCGTAGAAAAACGTAAGGAAAAAAAAGTAGAGAGAGAGAGTAGAGAAAGATAGTAAAGGGCAAAAACGTAATTGGAGGGGGGCGGTGACTAGTAAAAGGGGGGCGGTAAATAGCAATCCACTATAAATTTGTACGTACAGATAAAATCATAAAAATGTTCATGATTCATTCTCAAATCTTCTAGACAAGATTTATACATAGCTCAAATCTGAATAAAAAATGCAGTTAAAATTTGAATTACATTACCCACAATTACATATCTTTATCAACCAAACGTCTCAAAACTCGTAATTCACTTAAATACCATTTACTAATAACATTAACAACACTCGATCGTTAGACCTTTTTGCTGCTCGGCAGCATCACATAAATAACAAAATGTCAAACTGCTTTTCATCATGCATGCAACGATTGAAAGCGGTCGGATAAGAATACCAACTCTGGCTACCTAATTATGTATATAAATATAAATATATATATAAAGCTAGGGTAGTGAAACTAAAAAGTTCGAAACTTGATGTTCGAGTCGTTAACCGGCAGGCCTTAGGAAAGAAGTCATATGTCCAAATGTGACGAGAAGATCGGGTGATTGACAAAGTTTTGAAGTATGTGATCGCCGCCAGGTAGGCATGCTTCTAAAGTATTTTCTTTCGAATTCGGCAAGATTGCTCCAGAAGGGACTGAAGACGTTATTTTCGACCCTACACGACAATCCACAATGCTACAAAGAGTTAATCACAAACATAACTCTCAAGTCTCAAGAGCTAGTCTAGTTACCAAAAGAAAAGGTAACTTTACATAAACTGCAAAATAGTTCCAGATATGTTTACATTTGGCAATGGCAGGATGGCAATTAGTAGGTTTGAAAAATCAAATTGATAAGACATGCACATTGACTATGAAACAGCAAAATGAAACAAACATGAGCTTGGATTCGAGGTTCTACCTGTCAAGTTATGTTGGCGACGGTCATCACCAAGTGGTACACCAAGCTGAACTTTCTCCTCACAAATTTCCTATTCATCAAGAACCGTTATATGGGTTATTTAGAATCGCGGAATTTGCAAGGGAAAATAACAGGGGAAGAAAAATAAAGGAAGTACAACTACTCCACTTACTTTGTAGGGTTTGGAGTGCTGAAAGGTACCAAAGTAAGATGACTCCACTTGGAATGAAGCTTTTGAATTAATTATACTTGAGAAATCAGTTGTAGGTGCCTCACTAACGCATTTGTCTTGCACGTTGAGTAGTTTATCTGCCTGCATATGTTGATCCATAGAAACAGATTTTGACACGTGCATACTCGAGAGTTTGTCTGTATCATATGTGTTCGTGTTCATCCTCATCTGAGACATTTGGTTAGGCTGAACTATCTCCGGCATGCAAATAGGATAAAGGCTCAATCCATTTCTCATCGTCAACATCTACAAGATTGGATTATGTTAGTTCCCAAAATGTTACTCTGTACGAACACATTACACGTCACATATGACATATGAGCTTCTAAAGGGGGGAGAGAGAAAGACCTGGGCCTCAGTTTATAAAGCATTTTCTTCCACAATGAAACTGGTATTCTACAATTGTGTTCAAGATTCAGACACATTATTATGTTGTTAGTCTCGAAAGCGTCATTACATAATTAAAAGAATCCATAGTATTAACACAATTTCATATTAGATGAGACAGAGAAATCTACTTTAATTTGCAGGAACTCAGGATTGCAGATGTTTGCAGTTTCTGCAAAGCAAAAGTCTTTTAAAGGCAGGTACAAAGCTTATAACATGTGGTTTGGAAAAAATTATTACACACATATGATTGTGGCACGACAGATGCGTCATGCCAAATTTGCGAAATTTTGAACATGTGACTTGCAGCTTTTCCGCTTTCCAGTGTACAACCGTTAAATCAGAAAGACGCTAATGCCTACATGATTATGACAGAAAAATAAACACAACATTTTCTTCCATAAAATTCACAATTTTAATTTTCAATTTGAAATAAGTCCGCTGTAGTAGGTAAATAGAAATCTGCCCCATGTTGATCATACAGTTTCACTACAAAGTAGCTGCAAGTACAGAAATCCCAAGGTCTGTGAGATATATTTCACATAAAAGTTTATCACTTGCCTGCACTTGGAGCTGGAGCTGCTTGAGGTACTCGATAGCCTCATCGAGCATGGAAGCTTTATCCGTCTAAACCGAACACACAAGATAATTTGGATCACGACTGAAGTAAGATGTTTTCTGAAGGAAACTCTGAAAGACTAACAAAACAATAAACTGAAAAAGGCAAAGCAGACATCAACAAGAACTAATGTTATCTCTCACCTTGTTTGAATTTGGGATCAGATTTTGCAATGCTTTCATTTTCTCATTAATCCTGCTCCTTCTCCTCTGGCAAACACATCCCATGATCTCAACAATAGAGATAATAACAATCAATTTTTTCTTTAAAAAAAAAAGAGAAAAAAATAAAAAATACCTTTTCTGATAAATTATGTACTTCAGCTGCTCGGCTCCTCTTAGAAGAACTCCGTTGAGCTGGTTTTGGCACCGTCTCTTCCACCACTGCTTCTATCACCTCCTTCACATGGCCAACGTCAACGAGTGCCGTCAGAATTTATGTAAAATTCAATTGTT